GTCTATCTCTTTTGTCGTCGCCCAATTCAGAATAGATACTGGTTTTCCAGTATCTTCGGTCAATTGAATGATTTGATTATCTATTCTCACCATGGCCTTTGTGATTTTACTTTGTTTGATGTTGGGTCTCTAAGGAGGTCAATTTTTTGAAATCGCACTTTTTTACCAATGATTTGTCTGTTGTTTTTGTTGATTCTATCCACTACATATTTTGAGATTCTTTCGGCTTCCGGCTGGTGTGGTTGTATGGACTTTTTCTTATCGAAATCGTTACATGAACCGAAGCTTTCTCTTATAAGATCGCATTCCTCCTCCGATCTTCCCGAATCTTCCGCGACTTCGCTCACTTGCTGAAACCTGCACAACTTTGCGAAATGATTCGGTTTTCCGCAATTTTTACATATTTCACCCAATGCCGTGCAATTCTTCAAATGCCCCTGATTAAATGATTTTACTCTTCCACTGGAGTTGTTTGGTCTGTTATTTTTTGGTCTTTTCTTACTTTCTCTCTTATATAGTTGATTTTTTGTACTTCCCGTCGAATTCCTGACAGCCATCACTGGTTCTTGTTTTATCTTCACCTCTGAGTTTTAGCTAAAGCTCGCTCCTACATTTGCTGCTGCATTTGTCTTCCGAAATGCAAATTGTAGTGAAAATACTATGTTCGAATTTTATGGCTCTCTTTAGTAGCTCCTCTGGTTCTAACGTTTCGAATGAGTGTGTATTTTGCAGCGTCATGTTTTTCAGTTTTGATATGAATAAATCTCGAACGATACCACTTTCAAGTGCCTCTAATTCTGACCTGGTTGCTTGCGCAGTTAGCGTCGCGTGAAATGCCTCCAACGTTTTTTCTGGCTCTTGCATTCTTGTGAACAACTTGTATCTTTCGTATGTTACGCAATTAATTTTTTGGAATGAGACCGATGCTAATTCTGTGATTTCCTTGAACGACATTTTAGAAATTTCAGCATGCGGGTTTTTCTGCAAGAATCTTTTCTTACCTTCTGTTAACAGAGAGAAATATTTTTGATACTCTTTTCTTCTGTAGGGCTACGTATTCTTCTCTCCTCCTTCTCTAGCATAACGCGATCTCTTGCTAATTTATCTGTGAGGTTCATTCACAGTTTCAATTTCTCCCTCTCGTGGCGTCTCTTGTCGCTGTGGTGGTTCTTCTAAAATAGCTTTGGATCCTCCAGCATAACTTCTGGCTTTACAGTTTCTTTTACTGTCACTGCCATTAGAAATTGTTCGAACCAGATTTTGAATTGCCACGGTGGGTCTAAATTTTTTGTCGCCCAAAATACTGGTATTCCCATATCAGTACGATTTTCCTAAGCTGAGAATCCTGCTGGCTGCACCATGTGATATCCTATGAGGTATCGCGATGGAAAACTAATTTGTATTTCAAAAATGTATTAAATTTGGATTGAATAAATGGTTTTCTCTTTTGCTTTTATAGCTACTGAGAGTAGTCCAGCAGTTGTTACTCTGAGCTCTCAGCTGTGTGCCAATGTCTCTGATCTAATGACCTTGGACACATCTAATAATAATAATTAATAGCACTGAAGTTTATAGTTACATCATCCAATTACTGATACTGCAGTGGCAGTATGACACTCACAATTGGGAAAGTCAAATATTATCGGTTGAAAAATAACGTCAAATTTACTTGCGCTCAATATGAACTTCTGATTATGTGAAAGGTCCATTTTTGTTACAAGTTTCCTGGTAATGATCAGTTTAAAAGCAATTATGGTGATCGATTAATTAAATTTAAAAAATGGTCAATTAAAGCATGTGTGATTAAGAAATTTAGTAACAAAAATCAGCTTTAGTTTAAAACACGTTTTCTATGTCTGCAAAAACAATCTGTGCAAAAACTTTATCATCATAACTTGGTCTTCTTAGAATGTTATCAACATAACAAAAGTGAACGAATGCTAGAAAAAAATTAGTTGATAATCATCTGACAACCTTTCAACTTTCAAATATAGACTTTTTTGAAGACATTTTTTGATTATTATCACATTGAAAGCAATATTAGGCTGTCAAGTGAGGGGTATTAATTTTTTCTTTAAATTATTCGAACTATTCTTTTAAAATATATATGAGTCTAAGCAACTAGTTAAGAATCATCAGTTTTTGGTCTCAAAATTGCTATCTACAAAATAAAATGTAATAACCTTTTGTAATCTATAAAACATCCACAAAAACTTGTTTGCAAGTGATTAGTTTTGTTTGCAAGTGATCAGGCGCGGATCTAGGAATTTCTCGAGTGGGGAGGGGCGCCCATTTTCGAAAAAAAAATTGAAAGTTTGGTCGATCTTTTTTTTAGGTCGACCAAATTGATTTTCTGAGCTCTCTAAACCACTATAAAGCCCTAATTTGACCAAAATTTCTGCGCCGCCAAAAATGGCCAAAAAAGCCGTTTTTAGGCCCTTTTTGGAAAATTTCGACCAAAAAATCTTGTTTTTTTGGCGCGCGCTCCCCAATCAAAATTAGTATAGTTGGCGCCAAAGGCGCCTTTAGAAAAATTTTAATGTCAGTCAGCCAAAAATTGCTATCTCAAAATAGTACAAAGGGGAACCCTTTGGGTCGGCAGGGGGTCGAATCCCTGAAAAAAAAACGTACAAGATGACTGATCTGATATTCTCAATTCGGTTGCGGCCCCTAAAAAGCTAAACTGAGCTGAGTTAACGACGATGCAAGGCGAGCTGGTTTTTTTTAATTTAATCAATTTTCGACTTTTTAACAAATCGTTTTTGACCCAAATTTTTATACCATCTGAAGATATTTCTGACTCGAGCTCAAATTAAAAACAGTTTTTCACCTGTGATAATTTTTCCGAAAGTTATGGGGGTTCAAAAGATGATAAGTTATTTATTTTTGGGCAACTAATGAGCAATATATTGCGTTGTTATGGCACGGGTAAGCGGCGGATCAAATCAATTCAAACTGAATTGAGGCAGGCAAGTCATTTGATCTGAATATTTGAACACGAGAAATTGAATACATCCCTATGTACTTTACATAGTATGTGGAGGGATAAAACGATAAACAATTGAAGAAAAAAATTTGGGTCACAAACATAACTATTGGCTTTAGAGTGAAATCGGAAGACTCAGAACTTTGCCCTGATATATGAGCAGTCCCCTTGAAAATTAAATTACAAAGTTCAAAAACTGTAAGGTTGGTCGACCGAAAATTAATTTTGTTGAATAATATCAAATCAAAGGGGGGACTTGGCGAGGGGTCGAAACCACTGAGGGGGAGGTAGAGGTGTTCACTCTTCTGCCCCATCTCCTAAAATCGCCCCCTGCCCTTGATACAATTAAGGCTTAGTTGACCAGTTTTGGGTGATGTGATAAATACAATTAATTGACACACACGAACTAATTGACAGTTCCCGCTAACTTCTAACAACCCCGCTGCATCCATCTGACAATCTGCCGCCGACTTAAAGGATAACCTTTCCCTCCCAGAGAACAATAGATGCTTCATAATTTTGTACCCTTGAAGCAGTTTTCAGCCTTCACATTTGAATTACCTGCTCGGTTAAAAAGGTAGGTTGGTAATGAGTTTTGGAAGGGGTTTGATGAACGAGGCTTAATTCTTAGATTTATGGGCGGATTTTGGCCCGAGGTTGGCATGGCGATACAATAAGCTTCAACTCATCCTACGCTAAATTTGCTGCGGAGTAGCTTTTTATTGCCTTAAGTTGATCTTTAAGGTTAGCTGCACATTTCGACTATATCAAATTGTCCAAGGGAAAGAAAGCATCGTTCAAATCGATCGATATTCACATAGCGCCGAAAATTATTCAAAAAAACCAAAGCTATCGACAAAAAAACTTGAGTGCCTGCTCAAAAAAAAATTAATTAACTTTTAGACTTCTTGACATTATGGCGAATTAAAATTTAAATCTTTGCTGTTCTTTTAGCAGCCTCATTGGTTCTTGTTAATATCAAGACTACAAATTGATTTCCGAATTTCACGAGCCAAAAATTCATTGAAAAAATTTCAAGTGACTGTTTACGTTGGCATTTTAGAAACCTGCACATTTCTACTCGTTGGTAAGTAGACAGTAGAAAGTAGTTATTTCAACTAATCTTCTGCTTTAAATTTAGTAGTGTTCTATGTCTGCGACTGAGGGTGCTCTACTATCTCTATTCGCTGCCTCTTTTTAAAGATTCCTTAAAAAAATAAGTAATGTGTCAATCGGCCGAAATTATCCGACGCAGATTTGCGATAGATTACGGTAATCGTTGCACAATGACTTTCAAGGAAAATATTTGACGGCGTTTTTTAGTTTCAATTTCTGCTGTCAGTCACAGTTTCCTCGATCGGGCGACTTTAGATGCAGTATAAGAACGATTACCAGATGCTGAAATCAGAAGGCAATTCTTTGAATGAAATGCGCTTGTCGGCAAAACGGAGTACGTATTAAGCAATCAAAGAAAACAACTAGAACGTGGCCTTTATTGAGGCGGTGTTCGGAAATCTCAGCAATTCCAAACTTTCGAACTTTTGGCATAAGGTATTTGTTTTAAATTTTTTCTTTAAATGGTTGAAAAATATTGATAATATTGCATATTCGGATTTCAAGGACCACTGAGCTATGAATAATTTGACTTTAATAAAAAAAATATGATAGTTGGCCAGTTTTTATTCCTAATGAAAATGGTTTTCACTACAGATGCCTGCTATTCTGCTTTCAATGAATGTCGGCTTACTTGAGTGTCTGCTTTTTATCTATACGTTTTTGATATTTTATAGGGTACATTTATTAGCTTGTCAATTTTTACTGAGGTATACTTCAAAAATCGCAAGCTTCTCTTAATAAAAAAACTTGCCAAAGGCTGAAAAAACACTCGGGATCAGCGAAGCGGGACGATTTGGGAAAACAGCGATTTTTCAAGCTGTTTTTCACATATTTCATGCGCTTGATTTATCTTCTTTCGCTCCATTTTTCTGATTTCCCTGTCCGATTAATAATGCATCCAATTCTTCTTTTCATTCAGTCACTTATTCTCGTGTACTATCCTTGATGGATTTTTATATAAGTTCATTGAATGAAAAAAAACGTGTTATTTGTTTAGCAGGATTCTGGTGTTTATTTCTAAACATTTTCTACCTTTTTGCGCATGCAACTAGATACTGCATTTAAGCCAAATGGTTGCCGCAAATACGGGACCGACGTGGATTGTAACTAAAAAGTAAATATTCGGCCCAAATTATTTGATACTGAGCTGACCGGTGTTATTTAAACTAATCATCCCTTCTGCCATGATTTTACCCTGACAGGGTTTTCTTCCCAAGTCGCAGTCTTGTGTTCTAACCTCCATTTCTGTTCGCTCCTCCCTTGGCTGATCAGAGACCACATGATGCTACGTGAAAAGTGATTAACTGCTGTTTAAATTGATATAAATGCAACTTTACACCTGGTAGAACGACTGCCTGACTTTTTGGCTGCAAGAACAAGGCAATCTCCCGTTTTAATCAGATATACATTTACCCATGCCCCCAATTTCATTTCTTTTCTACTTTTAACAGTGCATTTTATTTTGTTAACCCCCAAGCGATACTTTGGTGAATAGCTGAGTTTTAATTTGTTTATCCAATTTCGCCCAGCCTTGGGCTTAGAGGTGATTAGAAAAGAAAAACTTGCAGTGAAGTTACGCAACCAAGACTCGCGCCAATATGGCTACCGGTAATTTTTATTCAAACATTTTCATTCAAAGCCAATTAATTTTCTAATTTCGCAAAAAAAAATAAGTCCGGGTTTACTAAACAAATTTTTATATATAAATTTTTTTCATGAATCCTTATTTGAATTCGTGAATTGAAGACCAAAGTCGTTGTATCGAATATTTATTTTGTGCATATTGTAGAAAAAATTTGGTTCTGCAATAAATAAAACTAATCGCCGGGCGATACGCTGTTAATTCTGACTACCATCGTTTTTTTGTCATTTTTGTTAATTTTTTTTTCGATTGGGCGACAATGTGTAGCGAAGATTTGTAACGGGCAAAAATTGAGCTGAAAAATAGTTAGCTTCTAACGCAGCCTTGGCTGGTAGCGAAAGCTTGCCCAGATGCGCTTCATTCAGAGGGAGTGTGCATAAAAAGATCTTTTTGTTGCTTCAAAAAATCACGAAAACCGTCCTTCAAACCAAATACACCAGCCTCAGCTCGTAGAACTATTTTAAAAAGCATTTTGATTTTTAGGGTGCTATTTATCAAATTAATCAACCTGAGTGTTCTAGGAGTGTTTAAATTAATCAACGAAGGCAAAAAAATTGCCAACGACTCTGCGGCCACTGTAAAACGGAGGCTCAGTAATTCATCCCAGCAACTTGAACAGAGTCTAAGCGACTGGACCAAGAATAGCAGCAGCAGTGCCTCTATTAACAACAACATCACTAGTAATATCATCAACAGCAATTACGACAATTACGATAGCAACACGAACAGCATCAATGATAAGAACAACAGTGTCAACGAACTTGATTACGCCAACATCAGCATAAGTAGGAGCGACATTGCTCGGGATCGAAACGGCAGACGTCCTAGTTTAGTAATGGCCGGAATCGAAGATTTAACGGAAACCATAAACAGAACAGCTGAAGACCTTTTCAAGTCAATACAAACCCTGAATGCATCAAATAAAAATGATTCAAGTGAGATGATACACGAACGGTCGCCGTCTGTTGTATCCACAATAGAAAACGAGTTTGTCCCCAATGGGATATCGGCTAGAAGATACGATGACACATTAAACCGGGAGTCATCATTAAAAGGAAGTGCAAGAAAAGAAAAATACAAGTCATCTAAAATTATGAGTATTTTATCCGATGACTCCCCGTACTGTTCGATTGTCCTTTCGCCACCCGAAGACGCCGAAGAACAGGCGGGTGTGATCGTCGTCGATGAAAACAACGAAAATACGGATATCCAGTCAAATCGCTTATCGGCAGAGTCGAAACAAACACCAAGACGTGAACTAACTTCATCGGCTATAAAACGACACCAATTTTCAAGGTCAGCTGCTTCATTAGAGGTCCCGACTGTCAGTTTTTCTTCGAAAACAAATGGAACCAAAAAAGTCAGAGGGGAACTTAAGCAATCGGTTTCAGAAGATAGCGCCGTCAGAAAAATAAACCCACGCCAATTAAGTTTCAGTGATAACCAAAGTTGGGATTCGAAAAATAGTATTCCAACCAGTGAACAAAATAGCACTTTAGTTCAAAAGACGATGTCGCAAAAGGGATCAGTTTCAAAAAAAGCATGTTTTTCTACCAGTTCGCGCGCTAACTCCGGAAGCAGTAGTTTGAGCAGCGCCTGTGAAGAAGTGAAGCAAATTATGTCAAACTCTGGCCGTTATAAAACCTCACCGTCTAAAACTCCAAAACTAAATGGAAATTCACGAGAAACCCAAGGTGCAAAATCTGCCGACCAAATTGATTTTGACCTTTTTCCTCGTCAGCTCAGAAGCTCGGAAAGTTTGGGGTCAAGAGACAAACTTCGTCGGCAACAAAATTTAAGCCAATCGTTTGACGGCATGTCGCCATCTCCGCCGCCTCGGGTTTTATCCGAATGCTCGACACCCGAGACTTCGCTACTCGACTGCAGTCCCGGAATAAATCCAGCTGACAATTCGTGCCACTCGCATTGCATAGTTGGTTTTGCAAACCGATTAGCGGGACAGCACGACAACTTGCAACACAGAGTCCGAACAATCAAAGAGCAGACGTCTTTTTATGTGTGCAACCCACGATTTTCGCCTAACACTTTTTGGGTGAATTACAATTTTTTTTCATTTTACTACTTTTTGATAAAAATTGTGATTAGAATTAAGCTGAAAAGTATTTTTTTTTAAATTGTTAATTGATTTTACAAAAATGTTTCAGAGCGAAGACGAACAGCTCAGAAGAATACGAAGGAAGGTGCTGCGTCTTGAAAACAGTCTAGCATATTTCAGCATAGGTAAAGAACACGCCGCCACCTGCAAGCAGCACTCAGCCGATCAAACGTTAGCACGTTTTTTATGACAATTATCTCAGATAATCAAAGCAATCAATGAAATATTTTACAGTCTCAAGCTCCCGTAACATCATCAAAACTGTACTTTTTGGCAGTACTCAATTTTTTAATGGGTTTTTTATCAATTTTCCCTTGATCTATTTTGGTACACTTTTTTTGCTCTTTCATCGCCCTTTGTTCTCTCAATTTTGGTCGACCATGTTTGAAGTTGCTCTTAAGGCGCTTTTGGCACCACTAAACTAATTATGAGGGCAGCAAAAAATGTTAATTTTCCAAAAGAGACCCAAAGTGGCTCTTTTGGTCGGCTCCAACAAAATCAAAAAGGTCCTCCCTCAAGAAAATCTTAAATCCAACCCTCCCTGATGTAAAAACTATTTCAGCCACACTTTTTAATCCGCTTCTTTTTATTTTCTTGATGCTTTCCAACTCCCATATTAAGTATAATTTCTAATCGTGGATGAAATGATTGAGTTTTCAGGAAACTGTCAAGCAAAGTGTCTAAATTGAGAGACAGAACAGAGGCTCTAAAAAGAGAGGTCGAGACGGAACTGAGACGTCACCAGGGTCTGTTCTCCTCCGCAACTGGCGAGACATCCGCTGGCCCAACTCCGATCGATATTACCATGGAAAACTGGAATGGACGGAGCGATCATCACTATCATCAATATCATCAGGCTTCAAATAAATATAGACTGGCAACGTCTGCGGTAGGCAAATAATTAATCGTGAAAACAGGGCACCAAACGGACATAAATAAGGTCAAAGCAAGATCATTGATTACAGTTGCTTCTGCATGATAGCTTTGCAAACACCTATTTGCTATTGATGCCTCCTGTTTGATTTAAGTTTTAGCTACCGCCAATTTTTGTATAAAATAAAACTCAAACCATATTTAGATATGGCTATAATGATAATATTTTCAAAACTCTCTTCAATCACTTTACAGAAAATACTTCGCCAAAAATTTCAGCGCCGCAGAAAAAATTTTCATTATAAAAAATGGACCTAACAATGAATTGAACGGTTTCCATTTTTTCAGCTCGTATCAAGTTCACACCGTACAGTTGCACTCCCTACTTTTTGTTAACTTAACAACTTAAAGTCATTATAATTTTTTTCTATTTTTAAACACCATTTCAATCCAAAACGAAAAAAAAAAAATATATATATATATATATTTATATATATTTTTTTTTTTCGTTTTGGATTGAAATGGTGTTTAAAAATAGAAAAAAAATATAATAATTTCAAAAAAAATATATATTAATTTCAAAGGTGACGTCGGTGATCATTAAAAAAAAACTAGAACATTTTAGGCATTAACTGCAAGACAAATGCGCGACCCTAAATCAGCGTAAGTTTTGAACAAAAGTCACCTTGCCAATATTTCGGGTTGTTTAGATGATGCAAACCAAAAACAAGCAACTTCAAAGACTATTCAGTTAACTAGCGGTTTTTTCAACCTAAAAACGGCGTGGTAAACTTCCAGACACTCTGCGCCGATACAAAATATGAAAATTTATACAGTGACAAAAAGCTAAAAATCAATCGATTTTAGAATCATGTTAGCCTTTAAACCTATAATCCGATAACTTTCCTTGGATTTTTTGAATTCAGTTGTTGTCACAAAAACGCAACACTGAAAGAGTTTGCCAGCACTTAGTCCCATCTACAATCCCAATATAAGGGCGGTTGTACTACACTTGGACTGCTTTTTGTAAGAGTTTGGGTTTTGATTTTGAATGCTTTACGGGAGTTTGCAATAAAAAGTGCTGATATAGGTTTAAGTAGGGTTCAAATTTGATTTTTTTTTTTAAATTATACACTATGAAGGATTCAAGCAACATTATTTCTTGATAATGTTTCAGGCGACTGATTTTCTCACAGCAATTATATGTTTATGCTCTTCACGCGTTTTTATCAAGTTGTTAGTTTCTGAAATGGCAGATAGTTGACACGCAATTTTTTGGTACGTCGAGCAGATCCAGTTTCCGGCAAGTTATTTTGCTTGAAATAAATTTATGATCCCACTCTGTAAGAGTTGGTTAGTTCTTAGATCAAACTGTGCGTTCGAACAAAGAGCCAATTAAAATATAATTGTGTTGTTTGCATTTGTTTTTGACTCGAAAACATTATGAAAAGGTTGTCAGAAAATAAACTTTGTCGGATATGTTACGTTAAATTGCTATGATTTAGCACAGGTAGGTTTTTTTAGTAACCACATTGGTTTAGTTAGGCAATAATTGAAAATCATTTACGAGTTTTTCCATAAGTGGCTTTAGTGTTTCAGACAGTTTCATTTTCGCGTGTGTAAATGAAACAAAATACGTTATTGAATGTGGTGCATGCGTTAATTGCTAAATTAACTTTGATGTTAGGTCTTTAAATTTGAGTTCAAATAAGGACTCGATACCAATCAAACTCTGGTGTTGAGGTTTAAAAATATTCTAGGAATAAATTTTTAGTGAAATATCTAAAATAGTGAAATGTCTAGTTGTTTTGATGTACGGAGATAAATTGGATGGCATAAATTTTAAGACAGTGAATCGTTTTAACTGCAGATGCAACCCGGTGATTCAATATAAAGGTATCATTGGCTGATGCATTTGAAAATAAAATGAATTTCCAAACGAGGCCTTTTTTTTAAGTCGACGCTTCATTCGCAACAATTGCCGTAAACCCTAGCAATTCAATTAGTTAGTTTATAGGTATCAATATTTTAATCAATATATCTCGTTTGTTAGGACAATTTCACAAAATTGCAATGCTGATCGAGATCAAAATAACAAAATGATGTTCGAAACGGTATCGAAAAATTTTGTAACTAATCTTGCGAAAAAATAATCCCCAAAGCGCACAACTTAATAAAATCCTAAATTAATTGTACTAATTTTAATACTGTATCACAAACGGCAACTGAAATCTTTTTTTTTTCAGTTCTTATACTCTAATTTGTTTATTAGATTTATCAATCAAGCCAATATGGCGTTTTGTTCCACGTGTTTCTAATTCAAATAATATCAAGATACTTACTAAATAATTTTTCAAAAACGCCTTTTTGGTTCATTTAAAACAAGAATTTTTTAATTCAATTTTTTAAACATTCTTTCAACTAAAAGTTCAGAAAATATAATTTCTAAATTATCTTGACTAGATTATTGTTTTTTTGCGATGATTTTCTCAGCTAACCTTATGTTTGAGAATGAGGTAAGCTTTTTCCTTTAGACAGTTTTTAGTGATGACCAAACTTTGTGAACAACATTGAAGACAGCAAAACAGGAGTTCGACTTTGAAAAATTTTTTGATGTACATCTTCAATTGATAAATGGTTGAACAGCTTTGTTTTGAGACCCATCATTTCCGCAACAAAAATATTTTTCAACGCTTAGAGTCGTTGTCGTTTTTCAGAAAAACAAGATTTACAGCTATGTCGCTCTGCATTGACCTGTTGTTTAAGTTGATGCGGCTAAAAAACTGAGAATTTTTTTTAATTTAGGGCTGAGTTTGTAACCATTAACCAAAAATTACGCGAAGTCCACCGGATGAATTTATTCAACAATGTGTCAACGAAATTCTTCAAACCCCTCCAACATATTGTTACTATATTTGCTTGAAACTACACTGAAAAAGAATTGCCGCATTTTTTAAATATCTTTTTACATATTTTAAATTGATTCCCAAATAAGACTTCCAACAGAGTTTTGGCATTTTGTTTTATCCCCGTCTGATGTATTTTCCCATCTAAAAAAAATTTTCTCGGTTGTTAGTAGGTGATGAAAGTTTTGACCCAAATTTGTCTGCAAAATTGATCATTTCAACGCTCGAGCTCAAAACTAAAACCCCTTTTGCAACAAACCATAATGCAATGAAAAATTTGGACAGTAAATTTTTCAGATTTATTATGTTTGCATAAACTTAGGTTTTCAACTAGAGGAGTTGAATTTGAAAACAAAAAATAAATGACTTTATGCGCAATTTTGACAAAAAAGTGGCTTCAATTTGCTATGCTAGAGAAGATTAGCATAAAGATAAAGCATTCACCAAATCACTTGCCATGATAATGATAGCGTTTGCGAACAAGCTGCAACCTGACTTTTTGTTTCATTCCTACCACAGCGTGACCAATCTCGGCTGCGTTTCTGGTATCAGACGCAAAGTTTTAGACTGAGGTAAATTTTTTTGAGTAGCAGAAAAAGAGTGTAGTACAACAAAATGATTTAATTTGAATGTAGTGAAATAAGAGAAACATACTTTTTCAGCTTCAATAGTTTTCGATAGATCCTCAGCAATCCGCAGAAACTAAATTTTGTAAACTATTCGCGGAACCTTTCCGAATATACATATTTCATATTGCGAAACTTTTTTCTGATTTGATATAAAAATTTGCCGACTATTTTGGGTAAGATTCTTTCTCTTTTTCGTTAAATTTTGAAGGAAACAAACTATGTAATAACTTGTAGGAGAGAAAGTGCCATTGGCTTGCTTGAATACCGAAATTGACCAGATTGATTTTGCGAAGCTTTTGATTTTAAATAAGAAAATTAGCCATTAGCCTGAAACATTGACAATCATTGATTGGATAGACGGTCTGAATATACACCAATTACATCAAGTTGAATCTTTTGAAACGTCAAGTAACTTTTTTTGTATCACTATACTGAACATAGCTCAGTTTGCTTACAACTCAGTTCAGTTTACAATTTTTTGACTTCAACGCATTTGAAATTTTTTTTCTAATTACTCATTGAATCGTATGACCGTATATGAGCATTTGCTTTAAGAGTTAATCGAAGTCGATATACTCTGTGTCCCCAATTCAAGTAGACTGCTAAGAATTTTGTTTCGTTTTTTGATGCGAGGGCAATGACAGGAAAATAAACCGATATGAAGTGAAACCGAAATATACGATATAGATAAAAAAAGCGAAGATTGCCCATTTTTGTGTCACTTCACTACATAATTTAATTAAGTTCGATGGATGCTTATCAGGGTTACTACAGTGGCAGTCGCAGTTCCAGAAGTGCATCCTCGCGTGACCAGTTCCACCAGATGAACAACGCCCTTACGAGGGCGCTCGTGTCACCTCAACGCAGGCGCAACAGTTTCACATCTGTCTCTTCCCTCCAGCATCGTGGCGGTGGAGGACCAGGTGCTCCTTCACACTTCATACACACGTGGGTGATCTTATTTAGACTCCGCTTTCAATGTATCTTCTACTATATAAAATTATGTCACAAAAAATCCATTTATAGCAAATGAATTGAGAGTGACAATTTTGAACCATTTTGATCATAAGATTTTGACAAGAAAAAATGGCATTTTTTGACAAGTTCTCACTAAAAATTATACATATTGGCGCCGAAGGGCTTGTCAGATGAATCAAAACTGAACAGCCCCCCTCTCTCGGAACGCTATTAATCTCAACAGTTTTATCCTTGTAAAACCCTTATAAATCTATGGGCAGATTAAGGTGACAAGATAAGCAAATTCATCTTATTAAATAAATCAAGTTGACAGCAGTTATAACAAAGAAAACTATAATCTATCATTTCATTCGGCTCTTTTCTTAACTGAAAAACGACCCTTCGTCAGTTTAATTGATCACACGAGCTCTGAAGCCGATGAAAATAGAAAATAGAAAATAGAAAATCATTTCTGCAAATAAACAAAAACAGCGACCGCCATCTAGCAGCTAGAAAATTTTATGACCGTTATAGCAATTTCTACTCAAAAATTAGCAATGAGCAATGACCTAAAATAAAATAGAAGCAATGTTGTTCACAGGAATTGTTTGATCGAGGAGTGTTTGAAACTTTTGTTCAAGCTTTTTTTAGTTTTTTGACATCTTTGATTCGCAAGCTCCGTCGAAACCCTAAAGTGACGGCTTTCATGAACCAGAGGCAGTTTTTAACAGAAAAAAAGGCCAGAAAGGGTTTTACGGGGTTTTATTAGCGTTTTTTATTTGAAAAATAGCGTTTTCATCAGCGTTTTTAGTATATATTGGCGCCAAACAAGGTCGGATCATCTGAGATTTTCTCAAGGTTGGGGGATGTGGGTCTGGATTTTCAAGTTTTGAAAATTTAATCGATTTTTTTAAGTCAAACAAATTGATTTTCCGAGCTCTCCCAAAGCCCATTTGGCCAAATTTTTGAAAAATTATTTAGTATTGGCTCGTCTTGATTAGACTTATTGAGACGTGGAAATAAACTAATTCTATTTTCGGTTTGTCTTCATTTTGTTTTTGAATTTTGCTAAATCTAAGTTAGTATGGGCCTGCTCGAGACTCGTTTGGTTGCACCGGATTCGTTTAGGTCCGGGGTGACCTTTTCATGGAGTAATTTTGGATACGGTCCACCGTCTGTTGGTCACGCTATCTAATTTTAGGCCGAATAGATATGTGCAATTTCTTAGTCTAATACCGATCCTAATTAATCTTTCCTAGTCGCAATATATCTAGTAAATACTGGTATTCTTGCGAGGTTGGAGGAGAGGAAGAGCAGCTGCTTTCTAGGTTAAATTATTTCTTCTCTGGCTGAAACTATAAACAGTTTCACCTTTGCAAATTATCATAAGATTTAGTAATGGATCATGATTGGTTATTTCTAAATATTTTACAGTGAAAATTATCAAAGAATACGCAAGTGCAGATATAAAATACTTAATTTAAACTGATTCCTTGATTAACTGTTTTCAAATAATAGGACTCGGGGAACATATGACAGCAGAGTGGACGTTGCCTTTCCCTCCAGACTGCACCAGTGGCCCCCCACCAGAGGCGACTCTCTCCACAAGAATGCAATATCACCCAACCATGCTGAGATGAAAAGAGAGATGCAACAGATGGTCGACTCTGCATGTAGAAAGGTTGGCAGCTTCAACCGGTTCATCTTTTCTTTGGAAAAAGTCACGCCTCTCATCCATTTAATTTTGGTCTGACGCCGGTAAACTTGATTTTTTTAATACGCAGGTTAAGTGAGTAGCCGAACGGCCATATTTGATCTAGTTTATTAATATTTAAAAAATCTAAAATTTTTCAGCGTAATTTCCCAATTTTTATCGAATATTTCCCCGCAATTTGGTTCATCATTTTTTTGTTTAAGTAGATAAAAGGATCTTTTGAATGAAGTGAACTCTTTAGTTCTATACACTTGTGATATGATCAAATTCGTCGTCCGCAACGTTCGTTTATAAAATATCCAAACCAATTCGCAAGTGATTATAGATGATTTGTATTTTTTTTTCAAGTTTGGCTACACTTCATTTTTATTGGCGAAAAGTATATTTTGCTGTTTGCTTGTTTTTCTTGGCATATTGTTGTTCCGACTTTCGAAACAAAAGTGCTCAGGGTGCGTTTTTTTCTTCAGACAAATTTCGACTTTTTAACTAGCCATTTTTGACGGAATTTTTTCATACCATTCAGAAGGTATTGTTGTCCTGAGCTTAAATTTGAAAAGATATTTCACCTGTGATCATTTTTCCTAAGGTTATTGAGGTTTAAAGGTTGCCATTTTGGCCAATTTGGGACAATTAACATGCGATACATTTCGCCCTGATACGAGCAGTCTTGTTGTTCCGACTTTCGATACGAAAGTAACGGAATATTTGTGCTCGGGGTGGGTTTTTTTCTTCAGACAAAGTTCGACTTTTAACTAGCCATTTTTGACAGAATTTTTTTAATATCTTTCGAAAGGTATTGATGTCTTGAGCTCAAATTTGAAAAGATATTTTACCTGTGATCATTTTTCGTAAAGTTATGGGGGTTTAAAGATTGCCATTTTGGCAAATTTGGACAATTAACGCGCGATATATTTCGCGCTATTAACGCGTAAGCGGAGATTAAATCCGTCTTAGAAATCGTTCAAAATTGTACTTAATCCGTCTTAGAAATCGTTCGAAATTGTACTTAATAATTTTTTGTACTTAATATGGCGTGTGGGGGATGAGTTTCATAGAAAAACTTTCAAATTTTAGAAAAAAAAAATTTTCATTTTCTTTTATTACATTTGAAATGTTAATGATATTTATGTTATTACTGCTTCACAAACCTTAAAAGGCAATCGGAACCTTCAGTGCTTCGCCCTGATACGAGTTATCTTGTTTTTAATTGAAACATCTCGATAGCTACCTAGCTTTTCACTCATTTTTCCAGCCAAACATATATATATATATTAATTTGCTTCGAGCGCCAACGAACTAATTGGTCGGAATTTTCTGCATTCCTTTGGGTTACTTTGTAAAATATAAAGTTGAGGTTTTCAGAAAGACTTTCAACTTAGTGTTCATGCAGTTTATACAGTACTCGATCAATCCAGTTTCGAACAAAAAAATTATGGGCACCACGATGATCAAACAAAATCTTAGCGTGGTCTCAAAATAAGACGTGTGTTAAAGTAAACACGATTTTAGAGACGTTGGTTGTGACATGAGAGATAACATTTTGAAACCAATTAAACAAGGGCCAAACTGTAATTTGCACGGTCTGAACGTACAAAATAGGTACATGCAGCCTGAACAAAAAATCAGCCTCGATCCAGCAATAGCAGAGAACGCGCCGAATACAGCTTATCAAAAAGTTCAGTAAAGTGGTGCCGTATTTTGATCCACATCTTAAAAAAACTCTTTTATTGAAAAGGGATACAAGCTTGTTAGTTTTGTTAATTAGATGCGAGACGAGCTGCGGGCGGAGATGAAGTCCGAAATTCGGAGTGTGAAGAATGGAAACCAACTACAGATTCAGGTATTTGGTTATTTTTGCATCGTTATACTCGGACAAGCTATTATTTTAATTTTAAACACTGTTGACAAAATGTTCGAAAAAGAACCAACTGCCGTTTAAGCTCATCATCTAACCTATAAGTGTCTAAAAATTGAAACAAAGTGTTATACGCAATTGTTTTTTTTTCAACCCGAAGAACGATTTATGGTACCATTATACCATTTTCCTGATAATAGTTTGGCTCTCTCGGTTTGACTTAAATATCTAATAAACGCAATGCCCATGGCATACGCTAGCAGCAAACAAGAATAAAGGGGACCGGTAAAAAAAAGATAAAAATTAAGTGTTCGAAGACAATTATCGGACCTTTTATCCTTTCTAACGTTGGTGTTCGCGGCTGAAAAATAGCTGAATCTGTTTGTTGAAATCGTAACTTTAAATATCTTAAGAGTGCAGTATACTCAAGTGTCAGCCCATCCAGTGTTGACCAAAAGTAGCTATTTTAATAATTTTCTCATAAACTTTTTAGAACTTTCGTCAAAATTAGGCGCTAAAATTGTTACACGATGGAGATTTTTTCGTAAATTGTAGTTGTAAAGTGAGAAACTTTCAAGAAATTCTTTAAAAAAACTTCAGTTCCATATTTGTTTAAAAACTCTTAGCCCAAAAAAAATCTAGGCTTTCTCAGAATACATTAACGGGTTATCAAGGGTCACATGGGGTTAATCGGAGGAAGTGAATTGTAACCTCTAACCTTGTGCAGTTAATTACACGTTGCAAGAATTCTCATAAAATTAATTCTAAGCCCCATATACAAAACGTCCGAAGCTATGTGACATGACATGTTCACTGAAAGAAACAATGCTTGCTGATAGAACTTCGCTTTGATAGTAACTAAAAAGGTAAGTCTCAGCTCTGCTGCTCTCATAGATTAAATTTGATCTAAATTTGTTCGTAAATAAAAAATGATCTTTAAATTGAAAGGTATGAGTAAACGGAAGGTTTATAACTGTTTTGAAGATAAACTGATTTTGAGGATATTATTTTTTATAAAACATTTCAACACTTTTTGCTCTTGCTATACTTGTGGGAAGATAGCTTAGGTCTCGATCTAATCTGGTATAGAACTTACAAAATTAGCAATTTGGACTTGACTTTTAAAATTAAATTTAATCGTTCAGATCAGTTCTGTTCGAATTTTAAGTTAGAACAGAAATCTTATCTTAAAGGTGTCAACAAAATTAAGATTAGAAACATAACCATTATAAACTGGGTATTTTGTGAATTATAGGAGGATCCCACAACAAGCCAAAAGCAGGCTTGTCGAGGAATATGCAATACTGTTAATTTTTAATCTTCGTTGGTGCTCCATATTCCACAAAGAAAAACTTAAATCCTATAGTGCTCAAACTTGTTTAAGAAAACTAATTTTGTGGAAATTGCGACAAAGTTTGTGGAATCCGCAAACAAATCACAAAATTTTCGTCTAAAAAATTGGGCTGTCGCGGAATTTCCAAGTGTGAGCAGTATCCAAAAATTGTAAATTGAGTCAGTAACTTATAAGCGAAATCCGCAAACTGTAAGCGAAATCTGAGTTTTGATATCGATTCCAGTAAAACATGATCTTACGTCTTTATATCAAATCCAGTGTTAGCTGCTGCAAACTATGCACATAGCTTCAGGATATCGAATGGAATGATTTTTATTTATACTGAAATTTGATATATTGGACAAAATCATTTTTGTCCGTACTGAGAGTTTAGTCAGTTTTTAGCCATTTTTAGCTGCTGGATATCTATACTGAGTTTTAGGATATCGGGTGGCTTAAAAAACGGTGTTTTGCAGAAGGAGGTCAACAGCAATTTCACTCCCTCACGCATTCAGCCGTGTACATTAGTTTAAAAAAGCAATTTTCTCGAAACAGACAGCTGTTTTGTTTCTTTTTGTAATTCAAACAAGACTGCTCGTATCAGGGCGAAGCCCTGAATGTTCCGACTGCCTTTTAAGGTTTATAGAGCAGTAATAACATTAAAAGATTAAATGTAATAAAAAAAATGAAAATTTTTTTTCTTCTAACATTTAAATTATTTTTTATGAAAATCATCTCCCACACGCCATATAAAGTACAAAAGAATAGATTTCGCTGCTTGTAACAAATCAATAATAGCAAATAAGCTTCATTCAACCAATTTGGAACGATTTGTAAGACGGATTAACTCTCCGCTTACGCTTTAATAGCGCGAAATATATCGCGCGTTAATTGTCCCAAATTGGCCAAAATGGCAATCTTTAAACCCCCATTACTTTACGAAAAATAATCACAGGTGAAATATCTTTTCAAATTTGAGCTCAGGACAACAATACCTTTCGAATGATATAAAAAAATTCCGTCAAAAATGGCTAGTTAAAAAGTCGAAATTTGTCTGAAGAAAAAAAAACCCACCCCGAGCACAAATATTCCGTTACTTTCGTATCGAAAGTCGGAACAATTACAACACAGAGCTTTAAGTTTTTTTCCCACACCTTACAAATTTTGCTTGGAGGACACCTAAGCTTGGAGCAAAAAGTGCACCTTCGTTACTTTTTTTTCAAAAAGAACAAAATCTTTAATATTAATTGTTGCACAAAAGGAATATGATTAAAACAGAGTTCAATTAACCGCTGTGACAATATATTCATGTTTTTCAAAAATGTGAATAAATCAAATTCTAATTTTTTATAAAAATTTTTTAAAATTTGCTTGCGCTGTACAATGGATTTTTCTCGAACTGTTCTTTTCCCTCAGCGTTTTTACATATCCTGTTCTCAGTTTTTCAGAGGTCTTGGCGCTCTATTTCATAGACGTGTCTTATGCCTAAAGATAGAATAGTATTATACTATCATCATTGTTTTCCGATTGAATGATACTTTTGTTCCGCTTTTCGAAGAAAGTTCGGAATGTTTAAGCTTGGGTGATTTTTTTCAGTCAATTTTCGACTTTTTAACAAAGCATTTTTTCCGCAGATATTTTTTATACCATCTGATAGTTGTATGGAGCTCGAATATAAAAATATATTTCACATGTGATCTTTTTTCACAAAGTTATAATAGTTTGAGTTTGGGACTTCTTTGATGAGTCTAATTAAAACTGCGATAAATAACGCGCGATAATATTTGTTCGATTGAAACGTAGCGGCTCATAACATCCTTCCAAACTGAACTGAGGCAAATAAATGGCTTTTAAAGGACTGCTTCTATATCAAGACGAAAATTTCGACTTCCCCTTATTTGGCCTCGAACCATTTTTACCCAAAATTTTAAGATAAACTATAAAGTCTTGTACAGCTAATTTCAAACGTAAAAGCTGCTTACTATTGAATAGAATGAATATGACCATTATATATGACGTATTTTTCTTGTAACAAAATCATACGCATTTCATTCTAGTGCAAACATTAGTTTGGCAATCTGAAGGAATATTTCAGGATGGATACCCATATGCTGTCGATTTTTGTAAATTCGTTCTGAATTGAAAGAATCATTCTGACAGATAAGGTCTCAATTATATCTTTGGTATTTTGCATAGTTTATTGGGCGATGAATTTAGGACATATACTTGTTTTTCCGACTTTCGGTACGAAAGTAACGGAATATTTGTGCTCGGGGTGGGTTTTTTTTTTCTTCAGACAAATTTCGACTTTTTAACTAGCCATTTTGACGGAATTTTTTTATATCATTCAAAAGATATTGTTGTCCTGAGCTTAAATTTGAAAAGATATTTCACCTTTGATCATTTTTCGTGGAGTTATGAGGGTTTAAAGATTGCCATTTTGGTCATTTTGAGCAATTTGGGACAATTAACGCGCGATATAATTCGCGCTATTAACGCGTAAGCGGAGATTTAATCCGTCTTATAAATCGTTCCAAATTGATTGAAAGAAGCTTATTTGCCTTAATTGGTTTGTTACAAGGAGCTAAATCTATCTTTTTGTACTTTATATGGCGTGTGGGGGGATGATTTTCATAAAAAACTTCAAATTTTAGAAAAAAAAGTTTCATTTTATTTTATTTCATTTAACTTTTTTATGCTATTACTGCTGCTCCATAAACCTTAAAAGCAGTCGGAACATTCAGGGCTTCGCCCTGATACGAGCAGTCTTGTTAATGTTATAATACTTTGACTTTTTGTGAACATATCATAACAGTTTTTCAAATCAACAAAGCTTTTGATCAACCATAGAGGGCAGTCGGAATATTCAGGACAGAAATGTCTAGGGCACAAACATCTATGCGCCTTACAAGCATTCTTGTTACCGTTGTTTTTGAATTTTTCATTTAATTAGTTGTCGAAATGTGGGCAATTTTTAAGCTTGTCATTAAATAGTTCTCTTAAAGAGAGTCTTTTTTCTTCAACCCGAAGACTATCTCTACGCTGAAATCTTAAATACTTTCAAACCCATATGCCGATTTTACCCATCGTTGTTTTAAATTCTAGGAAAGCCAAAAAGCGAATCAAAAGGCAGCAGGTCTTCAATAGGGGCCTACGGTTTTTTTTTCATAAAGGGCTTTCAAATGAATAACTACTCAATTTCTTTTTGATAATTTGGAATAACTCAATTTATAATGCACAAAACCACGTCAAACTTTTCCAACTCAGACTAGAAGAACACAATAGTCCTATCAAAAAATAGCCTTTGGTGACCAGTTCGTTTTACAATGATCGGAAATGCACACAAATATTGAGACCAAAATGTCGTCTCGATTCAGTTTGAGATAATTTTTTATTTATGAAATGGAGCTGAATTTTCTTCAATACTCCCCCTCTTCTTCTTTGAATCTCTTCTATCTTCTTTCTCCCTCACTCTTATTCTCTCCCGCTATTGTTCTCACATATTCTCTCTCAGTTCTCAGTTTTTTTTCACTTTCTCTGTTATCTATAATCTCTCGGTCTATTTTTTATGGTTCTTCGTTTTTTCCTTTCCTTTACTTCTCTCCCTCTCTCTCTCTCTCTCTCTCTCTCTTTCAATTTTTCTCCATGCAGTTTTTGAGTAGTTTTTTTTGTCTAAAAAGTTTTTTTTGGGAAATTAACCAAACTAGAGCAATCAATTCAGCTTTAAGTTCTTTTTTGAAAATCTTTCTGTTTCATAAGTTATGCCCGACAAAAAAAAGTATGCAAAGGTGTAAAATTTGCTTTGCGAAAAATGTTACTCTAAAATTCGATAGTGCAGAATGGAAATCTTGAAACATTGCCGAACATAGTTATCGAATGACGAACGCACAAAAAAAGGACTTGAAAACTTAAATTTGTGTTTTTGTAATTTTGAGCATATTTGTTTAGGTCAGGGACAATTTAATTCAACTTCTGCTGGAAGAAAATTTGTTGCTGAATGGATCGAAATGTCAGCCAAACCAAGCATCATCTGCCTCGAACTACTCATCCAGTGACATCCTGAAAAAATATGGTGCTAACATTACTTATGTCTAACATAACTGTTATCCTGCTCCAATCAAACTATAGCTTAATCATTTTAGTTGATAGAAAATATGGAAAACATCTTTTGTTTGGCGCAAACCAGTTCGCACAGCAAATTACCGATGAAAAATTGTAAAAACAATGATCGCCATCAATGAATTCGCGCTAAACATACCGCAAAGTAGCAAATTTCTGCGCTGTATTAGCACTGATTCATAGCTGGAAAATTCGAACATTTTAGGAATGAATTAGCGATGAGTTTTTAACTTTTTCACCTATATAGCGAACATTAGCGCTGAATTAGCGCTGATTTAGCGATGATTTTTTGATGATGAGTTAGCGATGAAATAGCGATGAGTTTTTTTTTTAATCTGAAAAACAAATAAAAACAATCGATTTTAAAACAAATTATTTATGATTCAAAATTACGTTTTTTTGTGATAACAACCAAGTGAACAATCATTGAAACTAAACTTATAATCATCAGACTTAAATTTGTAAGCGTAGTAGCAAAACAACTTGCAATTTTTTTTAGTGATTTTCCGTTTCTAATAAATTTTAGGCAATCAACTGAAGCATATTCTGAATAGATTTTATAGTTATATTTCGGATTGATTCATTTCTTCGGTTACTGCATTATTTGATTGGTTGCCCAAAACACTTTTCAAAGTGATAGTCATCAAAAAAATTTCGGAGTTTTCAATTTTTTTTGGAGACTATAACCGGTGTTATGTTCATCCATTTTCTGACATGACATCAACTCTCAGGTTCATTTGCACAACTGTAGAAACAGATTTTTTAATCTAACAATTCTGATATACTTAAATATCAAAACAATAAACTTTAAAAAAATATAACATAAATACATTAATAAACTAGAGTCTTCTGACTCAAACTGAAACTGTTCAATACAAAACTTACAGAGAGAGCAGGTCTTGGTATGCATCATTTGCGATACAGCGCAAGCGTAGCGTTGCAAGCGGAAGAACAAAAATTGTACATAACTATGACGTAAGACAAAGCCATCAGACGTAAATAAAAAAGACGGTTGACGCAATTGAGCGAAAACAAAACGGACTTTTTTTGAAAAAATTGAAACTATCAAGTTTGCAACCAAAAAAACCTCATTCAAAACCTTATTTAGAAACACTACGAACATCACTTTGTACTTGAAAAAGCGGGTTTATCATAATCAAAATAAAAAGTAATTGTACAATCGGCTCGGTTATTCATCAGTATCCTTTGATTTGAAGAGACCACTCGATAGGTAGCTAACTGGTCTTTTTGATTTTCTTAAATTTTCTTAGATTTATTCCAATTAATATTTTGCAAACTTCTACCCTTTTCTCATATGAAAGACGATCGATTTAAAGCCATTATTTTTTGCGAGTAACTAGCCTCAACTTACACCACAATTTTTTTGTCAGCAAAAATTATGATTTTATTGCTAATTAAACGCAGTTTTTTTAATTATTTTCAATTGTTGAATCATCGATAGAATATTGCAGTTTTAATCAAAACTTTTGATAAATAACCGCTGATCAATTGAACTACGAAAACAGCCTGGACTTATCCATGAAAAACATTCTAAGATAACGCTAGCAGTTTTTCAACGCTAATTATTACGGGGAGGTCAACCCGAGAAGTCTGTCCAAAAAAATTAGTCACACCATTCTGTTTATTTTCTAATTTTTGCTATCGCCCTTTCGAAAGCCGACTAGCTTGAGCGAAACTGTCTTTTTTTGCTCTGTTTTTAGAGAAAAAAAATTAAACACCTAATTTAACATACCTGGCCCTCCCGGAATATTTTTCTCAGACTGGAACACCAGATTTTCCTGTAACATTCGACGACGTACTTTGAAGCTAAAACTAAACAATTGACTGCACAATAGCACCAAGCGGAAAATAGTTTTCACTACTGCATAACAAGGAAATCAACAACAGAAGACCTGGCAAAAGCAATGAATTGAGAAATAATTATTCACAAGGTAATCATCAAAAAAATCAAAGAAGAGAAATGATCTAAGAAGTGTATTCAAAAAGAAAAAAGTATTCGTTTGTATGATGATATTGATTTGGTAAGCGCGAGTTTTAGAGTAAAGCGAAATTTCTTTCGATAACAAAAGCTCTATTACTTGCAAATTATCCTTTCAGTTTTACTTCCAGACTTGCTCTACCCTAAACAGGAAAAACCAAGCTTTCTTTTTGAGTGCATCTCAGAAACAAAAATTTGATTTGAAAGGACTCGAACGCAAGTTTTTGTATTTTCGTAAAACGGATTTTGCTTTCCTTGTAATCAATTTATAAACAACTTCGAAAAATATCATTTTACATTAGAACGTTTTTCAGCAAGTTGTCATTTTCTGAAAAACTTTTTTTAAAAAAGAGCCTATATTTCGAACTTTTCTTAGTTTTAGTTTAACTTTACAACCCACATAAACAACTAACGAACAATTAAATTCAAAATTGGTACGACAAAAACCGAATTTTTACTTTTTTAAACACAAGATATTAAAACAGTTATTGAGCATGTTGCTTAGTTCTTCTTCTGAAAATAGTTGCCGTTATCTTGTCTCGGTTTGAAGTGTGTTTGCTTATAAACGCGTAGTCTTCTCTTTGTATCTGGAAAAATGTCATTTCTTAATTTATTTTCATTTCATGCAGCCTTTTGATTGCAATATAAAACCCAAACTACTGAACAAACGCATCTCAATTTGAGACTTACATCAAAAAAGAAGAGTTTTTGGCAAAATTTTTGATTTTTGGAAGCAAAACAATAAAAGATGATATAACAAAGAAGATAAGTGGAAAAATATATAATTAATCTCTTAATGTATTGACAAAACTTTTTTTCCAGCTACAAAAAAAACAGTTTTGTTGGAAGTTTTTGAATAACACCAAACAACAAAAAACTAAAACTAGATAGTTTGACTTTTGGTTTTTGAACATGAATCCCAATTTCAACTCATTCAAATTCAATAACAAAAAAAAAACATTAAAAAATATTTCGTGAAAAAACAAAAAAAAACAAACACTAATCCAAATAGTTTTTTCAAAGTTTTTGTTTTTAAAAATAACACTGCAAAAGAGGCATATAATGTTTTGTTTTTCGTTGAAAAGGAAAAAAACAACCGAAACCGAAAATGTGCGTTCCTCGTCTTCGACCTTTATCAACTATGGGCGATACCAATGCCAACAACACGTCGACAAAAATCGCAAAATTGCCTCCAGCAAATTCAGGCTTGCTTGAATTTGAATGAGCCGTTCTATTTAATTCCTACAGTCACAGATAGAAAGAAGAACCAGTAATAGTTCTTCGAAGACGTTGGCGCGGAAAACAGAAGACTGATTGGAACAAATAAAAGCAATAGCAAACAAAATGTTCACAAATGGATCTTCACAAGACAACGACGATACATTGAGCATATATGCATGTTTTTCACGTCAAACATTCTAAGTCAATTTTTGCCTTCCATGTAATCATTTATTTTAAAAAAACTTCAAAAGTTCTCATTCTCATAAAGAACGTTTTTTGCAGCGGTTTATCATGTTCTATAACATTTTCAAACAAAACCAAACTATAGTTCGAAATTTTCCTGTTTTTTTTAACGTTATAATCTAAATAAACAACTTTAAATTTACTAAAGGTCTGTATGCCATATCCGTTATTTGGGTCCGCCATATTAAATAGTTAAAATATTTTACCCCTAAAATGCTAAGCTAAACTAAAATGGGACAAATTAAAATTAAGATTGTATTAAAATCTGTTCTATAAAAACGAACAATGAATAACATCAGATCCTTCGGTTGGTTGTAACTAATCAAAGTCAGACGTGTACCAAACATTTATTTAATCAATTCAAATGAACAATCACAAAAAAAATGAAGTAAATAAATTCGTATTTTAACTTGAAATAGGATAATTATTTAAAAAAAGTGTTAATTCCTTGTTTGTAATAAACTATAAGCTTTTCTTGTATTTAAATTGAACAACAAACACGTGTACACAATCAAGATCAGACGAGTATTAACATTTTTTTAATTAATTCAAATGAACTATCATAAAAGAAAATAAGTATATAAATTTGTATTTCAATTTGAAAAAGGATATTTATAAAAAGTGTCATCTCTTCGTTTGTTTCAAAATATAAGCTTTGCTTGTATTTAATTTGAGCAACACTCAGTTTTCTTTTTCTTTGAAAAATTTATCAAGTACTTTGACCAAAAAATAATTTAAACTATAAACAAATCACAGTCAAAAGACTCAGGACCTTTCCCTGATACGAGCAATTTTGTTCATTATAAATAAAGAGAAACAAGAGCTCTAAATAATATTTTTTTTTTTAAAAAAATAATGATATCATCAAATCGGTTTGTACAAAAATTTTTGGTTGACATAACTGACCCTCAGTTTTTACGAAACTCATCACAACCGCTGCATCAGTGGATTTTAATGTGTCAGCAAAATAGAACTGAAAAGAGTAAAGGAAACCGAAAAACTGCTGGCAAAGGAATGTTACGAAGATATAAATATGTTAAGTGACTTTTTAAAGTGTTTTACGCACGCTTATAAGCAATGTTTTTACAGCATTAAATTAAACTATATCACTTTCAGAATTTCTCTTTCTTAGAATTGTTCAGCTTGTTCGGATTTTTTTTCCTCCATTCATAAGCTTTTTCGAAGTTGCAGCATGTAGGTCACTGTCACAATTGACACAACAATATAATGGCATATGAAAATAAGTCTGTCCGCAAATCTTGCATAATAATTCCAACTTTCTGCCAAAGACTCTTCTGAAATTTCCGGATATTTGAAAAATGGGTCGTCATTTTTGTCTTTACTAGGCTGAGCCGCAGCTTCAGTCACATAGTAAATGTATCGTGGTTTGAATTGCTTCAGGCCAATAAATTTGACCAGCTTTGAGGAAATCAATGCTTGTTTCCATTGAGGCATCAGTGTGTCACGTGGTGTGAACCAAATACTCATTACTGAAACATTAAAATATCAGATTGTTATTAAACCAGATTACTTGCAAAAAAATTTTTTGGAGCAATTGTTAAGTATATCAAGTTAGTCGAGGTTTCGGTCCATCAGAATGAAGCAAAATTTGATTTTACATTACACGCTCTAGTGCTAATTTACTTCTTTTATTTATAGAGGTGGCCATTCTTTAGTAGATACCATAGGGATGGTGTTTGTTAAGATCCTTAGTTTCCTCGAAGTTTGAAAGCTCAACTAACCAAAACTAGCCAGAACACAAAGCAGGCTCAAGTGCACCGTAAGAACACATATGTAGTAGGTCAACACTGGGAACCCGACCGAACTGGAGGGGAAGATACTGATCAGAGTTCCGAACACGACTATTTGAGCCAGAAGGGTGGTAATGGCGAATGAGATTTTGTCACCCGACTCGATCGGAATTTTGAATGTAAGCCCTGCGAGAATGTATAAGGTCATGTTCGGAAATACGAGGACGAACATGTAGAATTGGTATCTTCGCTTTAATTGAATAGAGCAGACGACTTCGGTTTTGATTTCGTTGTCTGGGAAAGAAATTGTCGGTTTTCCTACCATATGCCATTCGCTGTTTAAGATGAAAGATTTGAGAGAGTCGGTCGCTTTTAACTCTACAAAAATTCAGCTAATATGAAAAGATTAAGCTACAAAGAACAGAAAACTCTCCGATGATCTTAGACCGCTTCATATTAGCCTCTCGTGGATTGGTTCACTCATGGACAGTATCACTCGTGATTGGTTCAAACTTTTTTCTTTCATAAAACTTCAAACAATGTAAGAAAACGTATTAAAATAACATATCTCCAAAACAGTTGTTTTACATTTATCAAGAAGTTCTTTCCAATAGAATGTCTTTTCAGGAATTGTTTGTCTATTGTGGTTTTAAATGAAGGTTTCTAGGAATTAACACAAGTATTTGTTTAAAACCATCCTCACCCAAAATGTAGTCTGATTCTATATCAGATGCAAATGTCACTTGGCATGTTTGTTTGTCAAAGGGGAAATATGTCACGTCTAGAGTACACGACAGTACCGCTATGACCGAGCAAATAAGAGGGGTAACAGTCCCGCTTGAGTGGACAGCTTGTGAGCTGCAAGAGTTGATGGACGAGGAAGTTTTCATTTCTACTGCCTCATTCAACACTGGAAAAAAAAAGATTTTAATGGGAAGTTGAAAATTCTTGCAAGATTAAAGCGCATTTAGATCAATTGTCCAACCACCCATTTTGGCGAGTAGCGCCGCTCTGTATTTCGGAACTTTTGTTGATTACAATTATTCAAACGTGTTGTTTCTGGAACAAGTTCAAAAGAAGTATTTATTATATACCTTGATATTTATCACTACAAAATATTTAGAAATAACCAATCATGATCCATTACTAATACTTAAGATAAGTTGTAAAGATGAAAGTGTTCATAGTTTTAGCCAGAGAAAATATAATACAGATTGAAATCAGTTGCTTTCTCCTCTCCTATAGCCTCGCAAGAATACCATTCCCGAGTCGAGATTTTTCACCTAATTTGAAGCAAGATTTGAGCGGTTTGAGCGGTTTTTTTAGACAATTACGCGCAAAATCTTGCTTCAAATTGAGCGGTTTGAGCGGTTTTTGAACGGTTTTATCTAAAAAAAACCGCTCAAAAACCGCGCAAGATTTGAACGGTTTTGAGCGGTTTATCTAAAAAAACCGTTCAAATCTTGCGCGGTTTTTGAGCGTTATTTTTAGATAAACCGTTCAAAAATCGCTCAAACCGCTCATTTTGAAGCAAGATTTTGAGCGTAATTGTCTAAAAAAAACCGCTCAAACCGCTCAAATCTTGCGCGGTTTTTTTAGATAAACCGTTCAAAAACCGCTCAAACCGTTCATTTTGAAGCAAGATTTTGAGCGTAATTGTCTAAAAAAACCGCTCAAACCTCTCAAATCTTACATATTTTCACAGTATACTCACATATTTTCACAGTATTTTCAAGCAAGAAAGCAATCTTGCTTAAAAAACCGTTCAAAAATCACCGCAAGAAATGAGCGGTTTTTGAGCGGTTTTTTAAGCAAGATTTGAGCGGTTTGAGCGGTTTTTCCAAAAAAAAACGCCCAAACCGCCCAAACCGCTCAAACCGCTCAAATCTTGCTGGAAAACCGCTCAAACCGCTCAAATCTTGAGCGGTTTTTGAGCGGGATCTCGACCCGGGTTATATACTAGATCTATTGAGACTTAGAAATATATGAGTAAGTCTAGGATTGGTATTAGAATAAAATTTGCACGAATCTATCCGGCCGAAAATAAGATAGCGTGACGAACAGACGATGGACCGTATCCAAAATTACTCCATAAAAAGGCCAACCCGGACCTAAACTTTTTTCAACTGACTAAAGAGAGGATTTTAAACCGGTGGATTTATCTGTGCTTCTAGTAGAGCAACCGGGTATCCTTGATTTATGTTTCATTTGTTGAATGTCTAAAAAAACCAGAAAATTTCAAGAACTAAAAACCAGTGTTGGGAAATTATTCAACATTGTTAATTAACATTCAATTTAACTTCCAATGTCATATATAATTTCTAACTGTGATGTAAGTTTTTTTTTATGTAACATTTGTTAATTTAATCGAAAAACACTCCGAATTTAACTATTTTTCAGATTGCATTTTTTTATTCAGTTCGGGATTTTTCAGTTTTGTTTGTTTTTGTTTGTTTTCCGAACTCTTTGACGAGATGTATTCACGCATGCGAAGTCAGAGCCCAACAAAGCGTCGAGAAAGCTGGAAAATTGGCTTTTCAATTCAAGAAACTTAATGCTTCTTAAGGTGTTCAATTATTCAACAATTTAACATAAATGACATATTTTTTTCAATAGTTAATTGTTAGTTTCTTATTTTCGAAAAAAACATACAATTTGCCAACCCTGCTTAAAATCTATTGAAGTGAAGCTCGACGGTTGCTGTGCAAGTACCACAGAATTTCACACATATTTTATTTAAAAAATTACAAACATTTTTTTTTTCAAATTAGTGTCGTTTTTGTGTGGGGCGTGAAGAGAGAACGAATCAACCGTGCAATTTCCCCCCAAATGAAAAAGGGGGTAAAACTCCGGTTTTTCATATATCAACTTTAAGGGCAGACCAAATTGATCTAAGTAGTCAAAAAACTTAATTCAAAAATAACTATGAATAAGAATTTGGTTAATTAACAATATGAAATAGGTATTTGTTTTGAAAAGTTTTCTCGAGCAGTCTTTTCGGCGCTTCTGTTTGAAATGAATATTTTATACGAAATCGTCTTTCAAAATTAAAATATGGCTAGAGGGAGATTCTACGGTACCTTACTAACGGGGAGATCGTACGGTTGATCCGAGAGAACTAAAGAAGAAACACATATAAGATGAACGTTTTTTTTTTGGTATGACGCAAGTCGTTTTAATAGCCTAAATTTTAGATTTCGGTGACATACATTAACAAAGCAGAAAGTGTTCCTAACTGCCATTTGATTTTTTGATTTTATTCCCTGTAGCAAGAGACCTTTTAATAATTCCTAATATGTAGTGTTGCAGCCTTAACTATTGCTGCCTTCATAACAATCAGTTGTCTTTCTTTCAATTTATTTTTAGAAATCATCAAAACTACCTATGGACCTATTTGGTTCAAATGTAGATATCCCCGGTTTACCTAGCCAGGAAAAACTTCTAGACCTCCTGCCAGGAACTTAGAGGATCCAGGGCAACCCTGGAGTTCGTGGAAGAAGCCGCCTAGGAACCCTGGCAGGAATTAAAAGTTTTCAAAATAATTTTCATCTACAATAAACCCGTTTTAAACTTTTGGGTTTCGACTTAAAAAACAACGCTATCTTTTTTAAGACAGAGAAGAAACTTAGAAAACCAGCCCTGGACACCATATCAAGGTAATCAAAGGTTTTATCAAAAAATTTGGCAACTGTCGGTTTTTGTTTGGAAGATGTTCTAAATAAACGCTAAAATTATGTTTTATAATTATACTCATAAGCAGCTGAAAAGTCCAAGTTTATTTTTTCGAGCAAAAATTGACTTTTGAATCTATCGAAATTTCGTTGTTCACGATTTTGCTTTCGATAAAGTGTGAATCCGATTACCCCTTTCTCTGAATCCAAATACCCCGTAAACCCGAATTTTTTCATTTTTGAGGACCTATGGGAGTCAATGTGATTGACTTGGCGAGCTAAATTTTTTTTATTTTGTTGAATCCTTGCGTTTAGCGTTGGAAACAATAGAATTTGCGCTGTGTTGTTTTTGACCCAATAAACTTGTCGTCACAAAAAGGGTACTTTTCACTGTTTTTTGGTCGAGGTTGTGGAACTGTACTAGAGATCTCACCTTTTTTTAATGATATAGCGATAATTTTTTGGGTTCTGATACTCAGCATGTGTTTTAACCTTGAGATTTTTTCCCAATCAGTATATAGTCATCACTTATTAAAATGTCTTAATAAAATTTCATCTTGCGCTTTTGCGTGCTATTAAGGTTTTTTTTATGTTTAGAGATGTTGTCTGATGATTTGGTTGTTTACAGGTCTCTAGTGTATGTTATTCTGTTTTCAGGGTCTCTCTTGCTTGCTCACTGGTTGCTAATACGGAAGGGAAAGTATTTAGTCTTCGGACACAAAAAATTTTGGATCCAGGAAAGCCAGGGTAATCGTTGCAAGACTTTGACCTGGTTTTCCCCTGGCCAAGCCTGGCCCTAGGGATGGAAGGGATGGAATTCCACGTACATGTAAGCCGGGTAGTCTTAATGATGTGTTTTAGGACAGATCCTTATAAAGAATTAATAATTTCATGCAATTTTTGATGCAATTTTGCTATTTACAATAAAGTGACCGCAAACAATTAATTTGGCTGTTCATGATAAAACAAAAGCCTCTAAATGAGAGTGAAGGACATCTAAAAAATTGAACTAAAAAGGATAGCCGGTTTCTGTGCACAGAGAGTTCCGATCACAAAAAAACTTAATATTACACTAAATCTCGAGTAAATGGTCAGTGAATTGCTATTATTTTAAACTAGTAAAACGAACAAAACTTTAAATATTTTTGTTATACGTTGTTTAAGCAACTAGTTTGTAAAAAATTAAATGGGATCTGAGTCTTAAGTAGTAGGACATTTTGCATTAAGTACATTGTTTTTTGCAATAAGTGTGGAACTGATATTTACTCTAGTATTTCAAGAATTGTGTCTGCTCTGCTAAAACATCGAAGGACGCCCTTTTACCAAATATTCTGTATTCCAGCCCGAACTACCATAACTTGCAAAAATAGTGCAATCGAATGAAGCATTGAGTAAAAACCCGGCGTTTTGAACTGATAAAGTTTTTTAAAAGGTTGAGTCCAGGCATACCAGTAATTTAAATACGATAAAGAAATCGCGTCGATAGACCAAATAAATAGCACACATAAAATATGTTATGCTTCAAAATAGTTTGATCGCATGCATGGAGCTAACCAATATTGGGCACCCAGAATTTCTTAGTGGAGACCATCAAAGCACTGGTGTTGGCATACTCGTTCGGATCCCACTTGGCATCTTCCGACTTGTACTCGTACTTCAGATCCAACTTTACAGTCCAGAGGCCACTCGACTCGTCCACATTCATGATCTAGTTTATCCAAACTCGTTTTTCCAGTTTTCCTGTCTCTGTGAAGTTTTATTAACAAAAAACGTGCCAATTTTTTCTCTTTTTGACTTCCGAATCAAATATTATACCCAGCTATTATCTATCTATATGGAAATGTATAGATATACATACAAGATCAAAACACTTCATACATCATTAAAAAAACAAGGCATCCATTAGAAACCTAATCACAATATTGTGTCTACCTCTAGTGCATGAATATTGTGCCTCCATAGTGTGCGCCTATCTGCCTCTATGCCCCAGTTTTTTACCATGCAAAATTATCCACTATGCCAAGTTAGTTATCAGACAATTTAAACCTAGTTAGTGGTTGCCTTGACGTTATGTAGAAATTTCATACAGTGTTTCATGTGATAAAAGACAATTCGCATCAGGACAATGTCCTGCATGTTCGACTACCCCTGAAATTTTAAATTTTGTTGGGATTTGCAAAGTTAACTAGAATCAACTGACGCACTGAAGTTTCATGGATAATAATCGATCATATTGAATTTTTATTGTCAGTCTCTATAAAATAACAAAAAAAGCGATTATAATCGATTGAAAATGGATTCTAATATTATTAGTTTTCGAAGCAAAAAAATCCAGATATAATCAATTCTATTCGATTCTAATCGATTACTTCCATTTTATTTTCAAAAAATTTTATCGAAAGAAAAATAATCCATTTCGATCAATTATAACGGATTATAATCCATTTATTTAATTCTTTTTGTGTTTTGTTTTCAATTTTTCTTAATATTATTAAATTTAAGTTTAACTAATTTTATACTATAACTGTAATTTTTTCTATTTTCTTTTCAATCACGTTTTTGAGAATTTACAAAAAGTTACCTATAGATCTAACCCCCCCCCCACGTTTACCCGTACTACAGTAGGGGGATGGAGGGTATGTGAGGGGAGGTATGTACGTGGAAGTGGGGGTTACGTGGGGGGGGGGCGGGGGACTACGACGTGGGAGTGGGGGTTACATGGGGGTGGTTACGTGGGAGTGGGGAATACGTGGGAAATACGTGGGGAGTGGGGTTACGTGGGAGTGGGGGTTACGTGGGGGTACGTGGAAGGGGGGTACGTGGGGGGGGGGGTTGTACATGGGGGGGTTGTACGTGGGGAACGTAAGGAGATTTGTGGGGAACTGGTCAAGAATGCGGCTTCTAGGCACTTTTTGGAAAATTACTACATATTGGCCTCATCAAAGTTACTACATATTGGCCGCCCCTAGATGAACGTGTTCGTTCGAGCTTTGCAGAAAGATGCAAACAGTAAAACCTTTATTTACAAAATTTAACCAATTTTCATGGTTTTTATGTACAAAAAACAATCCAGTATAATGAAAACAAAAATGGAATATAACCAATTATAATGGATTTTAATGGATTTTTTTCGTTCAAAAATATTCGGTTAAAATGGATTAAACATCCATTACATTTCTAAATTTGCCATGATAATCGATTATATGGACAACAATTTAGTCAACAAAAATCCATTATAATCGATTTTATTCATAAAACTTCGGTGCGGTAATGCATTACTGTTTTTTAAAAGCTCAATTATATCCCTCTTGCTCTTTGCCTGTACCAAAAAACGCCCAAACATCTCGGGATGAACGCCATAAACCGAAAGTGCGTACCTTACAATTCCTCACAATATTGTGTCTACCTGTAGTGTATGAATATTGTGCCTCCATAGTGTGCGCCTATTTGCCTCTATGCCCCAGTTTTTTACCATGCAAAATTATCAACTATGCCAAGTTAGTTATCAGACAATTTAAACCTAGTTAGTGGTTGCCTTGACGTTATGTAGAAATTTCATACAGTGTTTCATGTGATAAAAGACAACTCGCATCATGACAATGTCCTGCATGTTTGAATACCCCTGAAATTTTAAGTTTTGTTGGGATATGCAAAGTTAACTAGAATCAACTGACGCACCGAAGTTTCATGGATAATAATTGATCATATTGAATTTTTTTTGTCAGTCTCTATAAATTAACAAAAAAGCGATTATAATTGATTGAAAATGGATTCTAATTTTATTAGTTTTCGAAGCAAAAAAATCCAGATATAATCAATTCTATTCGATTCTAATCGATTACTTCCATTTTATTTTCAAAAAGTTTTATCAAAAGAAACATAATCCATTTCGATCAATTATAACGGATTATAATCCATTTATTTAATTCTTTTTGTGTTTTGTTTTCAATTTTTCTTAATATTATTAAATTTAAGTTAAACTAATTTTATACTATAACTGTAATTTTTTTCTATTTTCTTTTCAATCACGTTTTTGAGAATTTACCAAAAGTTACCTATAGATCTAACCCCCCCCCCCCCCACGTTTACCCGTACTACAGTAGGGGGATGAAGGGTATGTGAGGGGAGGTATGTACGTGGGAGTGGGGGTTACGTGGGGGGGGTTACGTGGGGGACGGGGGGGACTACGACGTGGGAGTGGGGGTTACATGGGGGTGGTTACGTGGGAGTGGGGAATACGTGGGGAGTGGGGTTACGTGGGAGTGGGGGTTACGTGGGGGTACGTGGAAGGGGGGTACGTGGGGGGGGGGGGTTGTACATGGGGGGTTGTACATGGGGAACGTAAGGAGATTTGTGGGGAACTGGTCAAGAATGCGGCTTCTAGGCACTTTTTGGAAAATTACTACATATTGGCCTCATCAAAGTTACTACATATTGGCCGCCCCTAGATGAACGTGTTCGTTCGAGCTTTGCAGAAAGATGCAAACAGTAAAACCTTTATTTACAAAATTTAACCAATTTTCATGGTTTTTATGTACAAAAAACAATCCAATATAAAGAAAACAAAAATGGAATATAACCAATTATAATGGATTTTAATGGATTTTTTCGTTCAAAAATATTCGGTTGAAATGGATTAAACATCCATTACATTTCTAAATTTGCCATGATAATCGATTATATGGACAACAATTTATTCAACAAAAATCCATTATAATCGATTTTATTCATAAAACTTCGGTGCGGTAATGTATTACTGTTTTTTAAAAGCTCAATTATATCCCTCGTGCTCTTTGCCTGTACCAAAAAACGCCCAAACATCTTGGGATGAACGCCATAAACCGAAAGTGCGTACCTTACAAATCCTCACAATATTGTGTCTACCTCTAGTGTATGAATATTGTGCCTCCATAGTAAGCGCCTATCTGCCTCTATGCCCCAGTTTTTTACCATGCAAAATTATCAACTATGCCAAATTAGTTATCAGACAATTTAAACCTTGTTAGTGGTTGCCTTGACGTTATGTAGAAATTTAATACAGTGTTTCATGTGATAAAAGACATCTCGCATCAGGACAATGTCCTGCATGTTCGAATACCCCTGAAATTTTAAGTTTTGTTGGGATTTGCAAAGTTAACTAGAAACAACTGACGCACTGAACTTTCATGGATAATAATCGATCATATTGAATTTTTATTGTCAGTCTCTATAAAATAACAAAAAAAGCGATTATAATCGATTGAAAATGGATTCTAATTTTATTAGTTTTCGAAGCAAAAAAATCCAGATATAATCAATTCTATTCGATTCTAATCGATTACTTCCATTTTGTTTTCAAAAAGTTTTATCAAAAAAAAAAATAATCCATTTCGATCAATTATAACGGATTATAATCCATTTATTTAATTCTTTTTGCGTTTTGTTTTCAATGTTTCATAATATTATTATAATTAAGTTTAACTAATTTTATACTATAACTGTAATTTTTTTCTATTTTCTTTTCAATCACGTTTTTGAGAATTTACAAAAAATTACCTATAGATCTAAACCCCCCCCCCCACGTTTACCCGTACTACAGTAGGGGGATGGAGGGTACGTGAGGGGAGGTATGTACGTGGGAGTGGGGGTTACGTGGGGGGGGGGGGTTACGTGGGGGACGGGGGGACTACGACGTGGGAGTGGGGGTTACATGGGGGTGGTTACGTGGGAGTGGGAAATACGTGGGGAATACGTGGGGAGTGGGGTTACGTGGGAGTGGGGGTTACGTGGGGGTACGTGGAAGGGGGGTACGTGGGGGTTTATATGGGAGGGGGTTGTACGTGGGGAACGTAAGGAGATTTGTGGGGAACTGGTCAAGAATGCGGCTTCTAGGCACTTTTTGGAAAATTACTACATATTGGCCTCATCAAAGTTACTACATATTGGCCGCCCCTAGATGAACGTGTTCGTTCGAGCTTTGCAGAAAGATGCAAACAGTAAAACCATTATTTACAAAACTTAACCAATTTTCATGGTTTTTATGTAGAAAAAACAATCCAGTATATTGAAAACAAAAATGAAATATAATCAATTATAATCGATTTTAATGGATATTTTCGTTCAAAAACATTCGGTTAAAATGGATTAAACATCCTTTACCTTGTCTAAATTTGCCATGATAATCGATTATATGGACAACAATTTAGTCAACAAAAATCCATTATAATCGATTTTATTCATAAAACTTCGGTGCGGTAATGTATTACTGTTTTTTAAAAGCTCAATTATATCCCTCGTGCTCTTTGCCTGTACCAAAAAACGCCCAAACATCTCGGGATGAACGCCATGAACCGAAAGTGCGTACCTTACAATTCCTCACAATATTGTGTCTACCTCTAGTGTATGAATATTGTGCCTCCAATATGTGCGCCTATCTGCCTCTATGCCCCAGTTTTTTACCATGCAAAATCATCAACTATGCCAAATTAGTTATCAGACAATTTAAACCTAGTTAGTGGTTGCCTTGACGTTATGTAGAAATTTAATACAGTGTTTCATGTGATAAAAGACAACTCGCATCAGGGCAATGTCCTGCATGTTCGAATACCCCTGAAATTTTAAATTTTGTTGGGATTTGCAAAGTTAACTAGAATTAACTGACGCACTGAAGTTTCATGGATAATAATCGATCATATTGAATTTTTATCGTCAGTCTCTATAAAATAACAAAAAAGCGATTATAATCGATTGAAAATGGATTCTAACTTTATTAGTTTTCGAAGCAAAAAAATCCAGATATAATCAATTCTATTCGATTCTAATCGATTACTTCCATTTTGTTTTCAAAAAATTTTATCAAAAAAAAATAATTTATTTCGATCAATTATAACGGATTATAATCCATTTATTTTATTCTTTTTGTGTTTTGTTTTCAATTTTTCAAACATTATTTAAGTTTAACTAATTTTATACTATAACTGTTTTTTTTTCTATTTTCTTTTCAATCACGTTTTTGAGAATTTACAAAAAATTACCTATAGATCTAAACCCCCCCCCACGTTTACCCGTACTACAGTAGGGGGATGGAGGGTACGTGAGGGGAGGTATGTACGTGGGAGTGGGGGTTACGTGGGGGACGGGGGGGACTACGACGTGGGAGTGGGGGTTACATGGGGGTGGTTACGTGGGAGTGGGGAATACGTGGGGAATACGTGGGCAGTGGGGTTACGTGGGAGTGGGGGTTACGTGGGGGTACGTGGAAAGGGGGTACGTGGGGGGGGGGGGGTTGTATATGGGGGGGGGGGTTGTACGTGGGGAACGTAAGGAGATTTGTGGGGAACTGGTCAAGAATGCGGCTTCTAGGCACTTTTTGGAAAATTACTACATATCGGCCTCATCAAAGTTACTACATATTGGCCGCCCCTAGATGAACGTGTTCGTTCGAGCTTTGCAGAAAGATGCAAACAGTAAAACCATTATTTTCAAAATTTAACCAATTTTCATGGTTTTTATGTACAAAAAACAATCCAGTATATTGAAAAGAAAAATGGAATATAATCAATTATAATGGATTTCAATGGATTTTTTCGTTCATAAAAATTCGGTTAAAATGGATTAAACATCCTTTACCTTGTCTAAATTTGCCATGATAATCGATTATCTGGACAACAATTTAGTCAACAAAAATCCATTATAATCGATTTTATTCATAAAACTTCGGTGCGGTAATGCATTACTGTTTTTTAAAAGCTCAATTATATCCCTCTTGCTCTTTGCCTGTACCAAAAAACGCCCAAACATCTCGGGATGAACGCCATAAACCGAAAGTGCGTACCTTACAATTCCAAACACCGAAAATGCTTGTCATACAATTCCATATATCAAATATATGGAAAAATGCTAATCATACAATTTTCATCCAAAATTTCAAAAAATTATCGAAAAAAGATTCGCACTAGTTTCTGCGGCTATTTGAACCAAATAAAACAGTCTGGTGGTGAAAAAAATTATGTTTCTTTTTTTTGGAAAAACTGGTTATTGGATTTTTTCCGTTTCTCTGGATAACTCTTTTCAAACAAGGCTAAAAACTCCTTTTTTCATGACATGATTATATATGCTTGGATCAAAGTCTGATAGTTCAAAATTTCTAATTTTAAAAATAATCATCTTTAAAATTTTTGCCAACATTTAAAAGTTTGATGCTTTTAATATATGATTTGTGAAAATAAATCTTACACAATTCAGGTCGTTTCCAATGCATTGTAAATGACACCGATCAACCCTTTGGTGACTCTAGTTTTGAGTAAACCATGGGTTTAGTCACTTGTGTTGGGTCACTTCAAATGCTTGTCCTACAACTTCCATATATAAACAAATGCTTATCTTAGAGTTTTCTTAACATATTTTGTATCTATGGAATTGTACGAAATTGTATGATAAGCATTTTTTCATATATTACAACAAAAATTACATCGGTTAGAGTTTTCAGTGTTAATTGCACAGGAACCAACTACGCTTCTTTTGTTTGTGCAAATGAGCTTACATATCAATCCCCCTAATTATTTGAAATACCTCTTAGTCATATAGGTGACGGTCTAAAGTTTAATGAGCATGCGCCCATGTAATTTTTAATGTCTGGAAAAAAATTCAAGCCTGTCATCGTCTATTATTTTTGCGCAACTGCAATAGATTTTAATTCATTTTTCCTGGATTTTTTTCCAGCTCAAGTTTTTAAGATGAAGAGGAAGGAAACTGGTGAAACGAGCCTGATTCAGTCCAACATATATAGAGACAGTGTCCTGGTGAAGCTGCAAAGGTCGGCCAAATTGGGGAATAATGCAGGATAGTCTCTCGATGAGATCATTGTGGGAACTGACTAAGATCTCACTTTCGGCTAGTGATACAGGAGACGATGTGCAATCAATTACTGAGATTATATTCCATAATAAAAGAAGCATTTTAGCTTCTGATGGAGTTTTAAAGGCCAATTTTGAGTTTCAGTTTTTGAAAGTGTTTTCCAACTCAAGTGCTGTAAAGGTTTGAATTATCAATAGGGATGGATACCTTTGATGTTTTAGATTTGAATAATTCAAACAACAAGCATTAAAAAATGCTTGCGTGCTATATATTGCTTAAACATCGAAATGCTCAGCAAAAAATAATCAAACTGCGCCAAGGAGAAAATGAGATAGAGGAGATTGCGTCTGTAAAATAATGAATAATAAATCTCCTTTTACAGCAACGAAAACCAAAATTCGCGATTAAAACTATGAAAATCCATATCTTGAAACCAGGCGCGGATCTAGGATTTTCTCGAGGGGGGGGGGGGCGGATTTTCAAAAAAATTTCGAAATTTTTGTCGACCTTTTATTTTCTGCGCCGCAGGCAAAATTTTGAAAAAACAGTCCAAAAAAGGCATTTTTAGGGACTTTTTGGAAAATTTTGACAAAAAAATCGAGTTTTTTCGGCGACCGCTCCCCCCTTAAATTTAGTATATATTGGCGCCGAAGGCGCCCTTAGAATAATTTTAGGGTTGGTTGGCCAAAACTGGATTTCCTAAAAGTACCAAAGGGGGGACCCTTTGGGTCAGCAGGGGGTCGAATCCCTGAGGGGAGGGGGCGTCCGACCCCGCCCCCCCTAAATCCGCCCCTGCTTGAAACGTAATTGTTTGTTTCATGAGCATTATTGTTTCATTTAATTGTCTAGGATAAGAGAAAGAGAGCCGGTTGCTGTGCGAAACAGAAACTGTTCCGGACCAAGTTAACACCCTCCAACCCCCCCCCCCCCCCCCCCCCAATCGGTTAACTTGATTCTGAGTTCGAAATTTCAGCCAATCAGAAGAGAGCATTTTACATGCAGCGCGTATCAAAATTAATTTAAATTCAACGCTCGGTTAGAGGATCTTAACTTGGTCTATTTGGGGGGAGGATGTTATGTTAACTTGATCCACGGTTCCGATCACAATGCTAAAAAAACATAATAAATAAATTTAAAAATTTTAAAAAGCTATCGAAAAAATTTCCACATATTGAAAAATGATGCAATTAGGGGTAATGAAATGCTAGCTTAATCAGCAGTAATATTATACCAGTAATAAAATGTCGGAGGTCACCCTTTAATCAAATTTGTTTAATTTACTCCCAAAACGAAATCGTTTTACTCGATATTGCGACACAACTTTTGATTCTTGGGTCTTATGCACTTATCATCTTATGCAGTATTTCTACATCTTTCCTGAGCTCAAAGTATTCAGGTGGAATCTGATTGGCTGATTAGGCAGTGAAATTCAAACTACATGGTCCGGCATTTCAATTAAAATTTCAAGCTGATAAAATTTTTGGCCGGAATAGCCAAATGTATAAACTTGTATTGTGCTGAAGCCATTTTATGATTTTTCCGTGCGAAATTTTCCAAGTCTTTTGAAAGATGTATATATATTTAGACAAAGTTTCACATTTTGGTCATTTCGGCTAATATTTATATCTGCAGGAAGTTTTGATTGAATATGTTGCTTGAATTGCCTGAACAGTAGCCAATCAGATTTGACGGCATAATTTTTAACTCGAAAGTATTGATATTGGGCCATTTTGTGCATAAGACTTTAATTCTTTTTTGTTTTTGCAATCTAAGTCTCAAGCAATAGGGCTTTAACATCATGCCACACTTGACCCCTACGAGTTTTCCTTTAGTAGGTTAAGACGATTTATCCACAAAGGAAAGAGCCAACATACGGGCTGTTCAGCGTGGGCGGAGGGGGGATAGCTCAATAGTTACTTGAGACATGTTTATAACCACTTGAAAATAGTTTTAATGATATAAATCCACAATCCAGATTTTCCAACGAGTGTGGGACGCCAAAACTGTCAAAATCGACGCCCAAAAGTTACAAGAGATAGTAAAAAAGAGTCAATAAAACTGAAAAACTGAGGAATATAAAGCTACTTAGTCCTGTCCTAATAGAAAAAAAGCTCTTGCTTATAATATTAAGGTGCTGCGGAGAACAGTTTTTGCTATGCAGATACAAGGATAAAGCATGAAACCTGATATTTTGCTTTCCTTGATGAGGCAATGGTCGCCCAAACAAAAATTTACAAACATTTTTTTTTATATAATTTAGTTTCTTTTGAAAATTTTCTCGATACTCATAAAAAACAAAATTCATTCGGTCAATTGATTGCGTGCTACGAACACATCAACCATCTACTTGCGTTTGCTGACGTCTTTTTGTAGCGTTTTACCGTTTTTGCTTGGGGGAGATAGCTCAATTGGTCATTACGGGGGGATGGGGGGGGGGGGGGTGGTGGTAGATTGCTCAATTGATCCGTTAAACATACTCTTTTTGAACTGGGATCACTTATCCGGAAGTACAATGGAAATGAACTGGAACGTAGCCAACCAGTAGACCAGCTTATCTCTTTGTACATGGCGGATACAGTACTAGCGATCAAGCTAGCGTTAAAAACGGTCAAACAATTCCATATTTTAGCGTTCAAAAAAGTGTGCTCAATCTGAATTCCCGAAATATTAAGTGACAGAAAGATAAAAAAAATAAAGGAAAAAATGGTCCCTGTCGTCGATTTTGCTTCTTAAGTTACGGAGAAGACTGCGATGAAAGATAAGTTGGATGTTTAATGAGTTTCACCTGAATTATGATAAAATTGGCATGGTGGAATTTTTATTGGCCGAAACAGGAAAATATTTGCGAAAACTTTCTATGAGCAAAAGAAATTTAGCAAATATTTTGCAAGAGAGCCTTAAGGATTATAAGCTAACACACATACGAATGTCGATAATGTGGTTCGTGTGCAATGCTGGTGAAAAAAATTCACGTTCGGGTTCTTTCACATTGCTTGTTTGAAGTCAATTTCTAGGCTTTTCGTTCCTGTTTCAAATTGATTATTGAAATCAATATCACAGTGGATCCATTCAGATTCAAAAAGAAAGAGAGAATCGGTAAAGTCAGTTTCATAACGGTATAACTCAGCTGATTACTGAACGGAAGTAATTAATTGGTTTCCACGAACTTTGACACGAAACTAACTAATATTTAGTTCACATTTTCAAGCCTGATTAAAAATGAAATGAATATTTTTTCAATCCTGCATCCAAGTTTAGGCGTAAGTAATTGGTTATAACGGATTTTCATGATGATTTTTTGACAATTATAATTGATTATAATTACCAAAATTAGGTTTAAAAGATTTATAATTGATTATAATCGTGATAATTTCCAAAAGATTATAATCTCATTTGGATTGATTATAGTTCTTACAAAAAAAACATTTAAAATCAATTATAATCGATTATAATTAATTAAAATCTCTTATTTTGCCAACATTTTGTCAATTCAAAACTATATTCGAATTATATCTTCTAAGTTATTATTTTTGTGTCAATAAAAAATCTCTAAAAGAGAGATCTCTTGAACACTTTGGTTCATCGGAACACCAAATTTTACCACGAAACAAAAGTTTCATAGGGATCCTTCATACTAGTGGAAAGACTCCCGCGGTAGATGAAAAATAAATTTTCCGATTCAATCTTGAAACTAAATCAATTTGCTGATATTTTGGTGATTAGAAAAGCTTAAAATACGCATCACAAAACAACTCTAATGGGAAAGAAATGAAAAATTTTTTTTTATAAATTTGAAATGATTGGAAAATTTTTAAAACTTTTTTCTCATTTTTCATAGGAATCAACGTCTACAAAATGAATAAAATATAAGCAATTTAGATGCAACTTCGAAGACAAAACGGACAAACAAAAGGGATAATAATCAAGTATAATAGATTAAAATGGATTTTTGTGCAAAACTAAGGAATTAGAACTTTGAATAAAAGGCTCTTTTCAAGTTCCCCCCTTTCAAAATACCGAATTTTATTTTTGTTTTACGTGTTATTACGGCTAAATGCGTGATGTTACGCTGTTATGTATGAAGAACAAATCGGTTCACAGTTGACGATTCGTTCACCATGCCAATTTTCATTGCATTATGACAACGTTAATTAAGATTTTCAAAATTGAATTTGAAAGGGGGGACTGGAAAAGAGCAGAATGAAAATAATTGATTATAATGTATCGAAAAATATACGAATGAATAATTGATTTTAATCGATTATGATGGATTACAATTAATTATAATTTGATTTTAAAATGAGAAATTACAATCGATTTTTAATTTATTAAAACCGATTGTTTCTCAATTTTAGAAGGACTGGTACAAAAATCATAATATAATTGACTACTAACGCTTGAGACTGGATGCGGGATTGTTCACATCAAGTTATTAGACATACATTTCATGCAAAACCAATTTGCAAACGATGTTTTTTGTCCAAAGAGCCTAATCAGCATTAGTCTATGCTTTTTTACACTATAGAAAATCTCATCCTTGATGGGGTTCGAACCCCATCAAGCTACAGAGTCGCAATCACCTAAGCTAACAACTGCACTATAGCGACCATTTAAAATCAGCAGACTGTCTTTGCTTTCTACTCCGTACAGCAAACTTCCAACACAATGCTATATAGCATTAACAATGAAGCTTTAAACCTTCTCTGCCACCTCTGTTCCATACCATTTTTTGTCTTCAAAAAGTTGAATTGTATTTTGTTTTCGCAATTTTAATCCGCATGATGTGGGATTTCAACCGGCCTACTTTTATTATATAACCCCCTTGGTCAACTAAATCATAGTAACCGACGCCGAACCACTGAAATTACGCCCCCTTACTTGATATAAGTTAGTTTGAGTTAGAAGCAGAAGAGACAGACATGGATGATCAGTTTCATGGCGGATCGAAAAGTTGTTTGAGAGTTAGTTCAAAGTAAAAGTAAGATGAGCTGTAAAAGTGTCTTTTTAGAATAAATCCAGTTCAGCGTCGTCCCATAAAACTAAGTATATTTTTATTAGAAAATGTAAATTATCCATGAAGCAAGCGGACGGGATCAACCAGGAAATATTACCCTGGACCAAGGTAACACCTCCTCCCCCTAAAGCCGCTTGGGTCGGGAGGATGTTAACTTGGTTCTAATTTGGGATTGTTCAGCCAATCAGAATCGGGCAGCGCCTAGCAAATTTGATTTAAATTAGGCTGTGGG